CCACCTCGGGGCCGTCCTCGCTGAGCGCCCTGCGCAGGGAAGGGCGAGCCCTATCTCGTCTGCACCCTCATCGGCATGCACGGCCCCTCGGAATGGATTGTGAGGCGACCGGGGATCCGCCGGGTCTTCAATGGACCCAGTGGGGTGTCTGCCTGCTCCTGTGCACCCACCTGTGGGAGATGCTCAGGGAACATTCTCCCCACAGAATAAGGAAGAAACGAGACAGAAAGGGGAGAAAGAACATGAAACAAGCGGAAGGGCTGGAACACAGAGTTCACGCAGAGGGACCAAAAAGTTGGGGTGCAAATAGGCACAAGTTAGGGTTCCAGCTTCCGGTGGCCCCCAAAAGGCAACGTCAGCTCCTGCCGAGGGGCAGCCTCCCAAGCCTCTCTCCGCCCGGGTGTGAGCCATGCCCTCGGCCGTGCGCACCACCCTCTCGTGTCTGTCGTCTCCCCCTCCCCCCCCGCACGTTCAGAACTCCCCTCTGACCACAAGCTGCCCCGGAAGAGGAGGTGAAAGCTGGGCCCTGCTGGGGGTGAGCTCGCGGGTGGAGAGCCACACACCTGAGTTCCCGACAAGTCTTCCTTATTTTCAAACTCCATCCGGATGGGGTCGTAGGGAGGCAAGCCCATGGGAGACACAATCATCACTGTCCCCCGCAGGGGGTCCAAGGCGTCCTTCACCATCTCCATGGTAACGCAGACACCGGCTTCCACTTGTTTCTGAAAGCGGCAGCTGGTTACCGACACGCAGCCCCTCAGGTCACAGGCAGATCCAGCTCCTGGGCTGCTGGCTCCTCAGTTCTTCCCAGGGTGGAGGGAGGAGGCAGCACAGCCTCCTGCCCACGGGCTCCACAGGGAGCCACCTACTCGAGCCGCGCATCCTGCTTACTGGGGACGGGAGGGGCAGGGCGAACGGCACAGCCGTGGGAGGAGGCCAGGGCCCCCCACTCGCCCCTGGAGGCTTAAAGGCAGCAGGAAAGGGCGGCTGGTGGGCGGGGACTCGGCTGCCGCACAGGACAAGCTCACCTTGGAGATCATCGCTTTGGCTTCTTCTATCGTCTTCTTCAGGACGTCCTTCATCTTTTCGTTTGGAGCTGCAGAAACAGGGAGGGGGGAGACGCCACCATTAACACGTTAACACGCTCCGAGTGTCCCAGCCTTCATCGGAGGTGGGGGGGCAGGCGACATGAGACGAAGCCCGGCTTCGGGGCGG